TGTTAGTAAATGTCACTGGTGGCAGTTCATTCAAATAGTGAGAGACAAACCTGGGAATATCCTCCGCAGCCTTCACATTGGGACACAGCTATTGTGTTTTTTGATTATGTGACAATGATGATAGCTATTTCCCTTACGGTCCAGCGTCTTTAATGCCTGTTTATAAAGTGACTCCAATGGTTCAATGTTGTTTTGTTTGCTTGAGACCAGCTAGTTAAACAGTAAGAAAAATGCGAAAATATCATTGCATACAAGAAGAGCTTTGTGGCCTTCATTAATAGATAAGATCTTATATCTTTGAAATTTGCCATGTTAAATTTAACAATATTGGCTTTTTGTATGCTTCTTAAAAGATATTTGTGAGTCTAGGATGATTCCCAGATATTTAAAGGCAGGTACCACTCTAATCTTCTCTTGGTTGACAATGGGCTCTATGGCGGTATTTCCGTTGAAGAAAAGGTCTAAGGATGCTGGATTACTTCCGCCAATGCTATACCGAAAATGTATTTTGGTCTTCATACTCTATGGCTATACTAAAGAAACATCAGTCAAAAGAACAGACAAAACAGACACCCATCATTTTGTTTATGCTTCTTTGTTTATTATATGAAATAAACATATATTATATTAAATAAACATAACTATATATAAAATGCCATCTAAACATATTAAAGTTTTGTTTCAAAGACGGGAAGACAGTAAATTTTGAAGACTCTGCCATAATCCCGTTTTCCTAGGTTTTCCTCCGCTTTAAATCTCCCCAGCGGAAACTGAAAAGCAGCCTTGTGTCATATGCGGAACTTATGCATGCATATAGCCAATTACCTCAGGGTCATAAGTCACAGTAGTTTGTTTTGCAAAATACATACAGAATGTTTTACTTATGTTCAAGTGTAAGCATGAATTAATTAGCCAAATGGATACCTTACTCATGGCCTCAGTCAGTTGGTGTGCAGCTAGTTGTTTATTTTTAGCATGCACTCTAGTGGAGTAAGTATGGAATTACACCACCTTTTAACGCTGCACTACACTTATTGGCATCCATTTCGGCGTCTCATGCTCGTCATCTACTCAAAACTTAATGTTAACCTACTATTTGCCCGACTCGCAAGCCTAAACATGTTCGCTTTTACGTGAACGAAAGGTACTGTAACACTGTTATGATTAGAGAGAAGATATGTACCGCAGATGTGGAACTGTTGACTATTTCTCTCCGCCCCTTTTATTTGCCTCGTGAATTTCAACAGCTCTTCTTCACATTAGTATACATTCACCCACGATCTAATGCCACAGCTGCCTCCCAGCTGATCGCTGACGTCACGCATAAACTAGACTCTATTTGCCCAGAGGCACCCAAGTTTATTCTTGGTGATTTTAATCACTGTAATTTAAAAAAATCTTTGAGGACGTATGAACAGTATGTGACCTGTTCTACCACACAGAAGAACTCCATGCTAGATTTATGCTATGGCTCAGTAAGCGGAGCTTACAAATCCCTACCTATGCCTCCTTTTGGTGCTTCGTACCATAGCAGTGTCTATCTCATGCCGGTATATAAACCGTCCTTCAGGCGCCTGGAGTGGGAGGAAAGGACAGTGAAGATCTGGTCAGAGGCCAGCATCTCCTCTCTCCAGGCATGCTTTGAGTGTACAGACTGGCAATGTTTTTATGATGGGTGTGATGATATAAATGAACTTACAGACACTGTCTCATCATACATCACTTTCTGTGTGGACTCAGTAATCCCATCTAAAAAAGTGGTTACTTTCCCAAATAATAAACCCTGGGTGACCAAAGAACTTAAAACTGCCATTAATAAAAAGAAAAGAATATTTTACTCAGGAACCCCCCTGGAGAAAAAAACAGTTTCCAGAGAAGTTAAGGTTGAAATAAAGAAAGCCAAAATGAAGTACAGAAGCAAAATTGAAAGTCTGTATTGTAGAGGGGACCTCAGGGCAGCCTGGACGGGTATAAAATCCATGACATCAATTAATCAGTCTTCCTGTGAGACCAAGCAGGCCATTCATGTAAATGGTGTAGATGATGCTGACTTGGCTAATGGTTTTAATTCTTTTTTTTCTCGTTTTGAAAGATCTGATTTTTTGAAGGATATCTCTGAAATGCGGGAATCTTTGGTTCCACAGAATTGTATTGTGATTACACAAAGTAATGTCACAAATCTTTTCAAAAAAGTAAACATACGCAAAGCTGCTGGCCCTGACTCCATCTGTGGACGCACTCTGCATCATTGTGCAGACCAGCTTAGTGAGGTGTTTACAATACTTTTTCAGATGTGTATTGAGTGTGGTCAAATTCCTGCCTTATGGAAAACATCAACTATAATTCCTGTTCCTAAATCCAATAATCCAAAAGAACTGAACGAATTTAGACCAGTTGCATTAACATCACTTGTGATGAAAAATTTTGAAAAAATATTGAAAGATGAAATTGTCTCCCTAATTGATGGCAAACTGGATCCACTCCAGTTTGCCTATCAAGCTGGGAAGGGTGTGGATGACTCTAAGATATTCATATTGGACAAATTATACAAGCACCTTGAAAAACCCAAAACACACGCAAGACTTTTATTTGCTGATTTTTCTTCAGCTTTTAACAAGATGCAGCCTCATATTTTAATTGAGCAACTTGCCTCTTATTTTAATCTGCCTGATCAGATTTTATTGTTGCTTTTAAACTTTTTAACGGAAAGACTCCAGCAGGTGTTTGCGAATGGCCACATGTCCAGTATCATCACTTCAAATACAGGGTCTCCGCAGGGCTGTGTCCTCTCTCCCTTGCTTTTTATTATGTACACGGATAGCTGCAGGACTGCCCAACAGGGTAGCTACCTCGTGAAATTCTCTGATGACACTGTTTTACTGTCACTATTGCAGGGGGATCAATCGGGCCATGGGAGTGCCCTATCACAATTTGTGAAGTGGTGTGATGATAATTACCTGGACCTTAATGTGACAAAGACTAAGGAGTTAATTATTGATTTTAGGAAGAATCGTTTTAACCCAGAAGCCAGCATCATACATGGAGAAAATGTTGAAATTGTAGAGACGTATAAGTATTTAGGAACCATGTTTGACTCCAATTTAAAGTTTGACAAAAACATAGAATCAATCACTAAGCGGGGACAACAAAGAATCCACTTATTGCGGAAGTTGAATTCTTTTAATGTGTCTCAGAAGATCTTATGTATCTTTTATTATTCATTCATTGAAAATCTTCTAACATTTTCTTTTATATGTTGGTTTCATGGATTGTCTTTGAGAGACAAGAATAGCCTCACCAGCATTGTTAAAATCTGCTCCAAGATTATTGGAGTTCAGCTGACAGACTTGAGCTCCCTCTGGAAAAAACGGGTGCTTCAGAAGGCTAGACAAGTTTTGAGTCATCCTGACCACGTCCTTAGTCAGGAATTCTGTCTAATGCCCTCAGGTCAGCGCTACCTCGCTCCCCCAAGGAAAACTAATAGATATGCTAATTCTTTTATTCCTTCTGTCATCGGGCTTTTAAATACTGCTGGCAGTGGCAATTAGTCATGTGCCTTGAATCAAATACCTTGTATCTATTTAATTATTTATCATTATTGTTATCTATTTATGTATTTATTTTCTTGAACTTGGGTCCCTGCTCTGTCTTTGTATTAAGCAATATCACTGACAGTGTTTCTGAATGTTCGACTGATTGTTGTCTTGTCTTGTTTAAAATGACTGGAAGGCTAAAACTGAATTGCCCTATGGGGATAAATAAAGTTGTTTGAATTGAATTGAATTGAATTGAATTGAATTGAATTAAACAAGTGTGTACAGCGTCGTGCCTGTTGTTTTGTTTCCGGTCTAGCTAGATCCGCTTGCGTTTTGGTCCACGAAGCAACTATAAAGTTATATTTCTTACAGAAATCTCCAAAAGAACTGATAAAAATAAGCTGTTATGTATAGGAGGCAACCTACTTTCGAGTCTCAGCTCAAGGTTCAGGCTTATCCCAGATAGCACAAGGGTATTTGATCCTATTTACATCTGGAAGACGTATTTTTAAGAGTGTTTGCTCATCTGCAAGACGTCTTTTCCTGCAGATGTCAAATAGATGTTTAGAAGATGTCTCTAAGATGTAATGATTTAGAATGCATGTTAAACTGACATCTTATAAACGTCTATTTGACATCTGACAGGAAACGTCCTATAGACGTCTTGCAGATGAGCAAACACTCTTAAAAATACGTCTTCCAGATGTAAATGGAAATAGATGTAAATAGTCGACGATGTCAACTCGACTTTCGAAATGTCGACTTCAAAAAATCTGAAGTGGTTCAACCCCTACTGGGAATGAGTTAAAGTCAAAACGGCTTGCCATACTAGTACAGCCAGAGATATTACTAATGCTACATTGGCTTGCCATAGTAGCAGGTAAAATTCAGATCTGAAAATATCATTTTAAATAGTCAAAATGAATTACATTTGCGTATGAACGACGCGTCAAGATACTAACGCAATTACAGATATTGAATAGTCTATCCTCTTTAGAGATATAATCTGATTTTTCTTGCCCAATTAGAATTGCTTAATCATTACTTCTAATTATTATTTTGACTAGTTAAATTATAATTATGATTCGTCAAAATACCTTGCTATCCAGAATATATTCGTGTATAGTCATATGTCATATAATCATATGTCAATATGCCTGCCAATCTTTGAAAACATTGCAAAAATAGCCAAACACCACATGATGGCGCTACGTATTCACTGTAATACACGACGTACGCCGCCGCATCAGATGATCTCTATTTCATCACCAAACAATACACAAAAAATTAGTGAAAATATGAAAATAGTAAGATTTCCGGTTACTATTCCCCTCGATCAGAGTTCACTGAGCGTATCTAAATTGAGGCCAACAATATTGGGACACTCACACGCTAGCTCAATCCTCGAGCACATGACGTCACGTGAACTTGGGAACTCTTGTGCCCTCCCTGCTCAAGATTCACTTACTGCAGTACTACAGTCTCAATCTGACAACACACCTTGTGACGACAAATAAACAACGTAGACTTTCTGCAGTTTAGAGCACAATGGAATTAATAGTTCATACGGCCTGAAAAACTTATAGTTTATCTTCACACAGAGGTATGCTGCATTTCTTTTCTATAAATCTTGCAAAGTTTTTGCGCGAGCAATGTGTGTTGTTTTTGTGCGCTAGTGCTATTAACAAGAGCGATTACAGAGGATGACGGGAATTGATACAACGTTACAATATTTTTCATTACAAGATTCAGAAGTAGTTAAAACTTGTTGAAATGTATAATCGTGGATTTGAGTCGCAAAACCTCGCACACAATTCAATTTCACCCATATGAAATAAATACTATTTACATTTTTTCCAAATTCTATGACTGTATTTCTTCAGTAAAACACGAAAAGAGATGTTAGATCGAATAAAGATCAATTACGATTAATCTTTTCCCAATACAAAAGTGAATGGTGACTAAGACTAAAATATAATTTTGTTCCTTTTAAGTAGCCTATTCATACAAGTTTGGAACAATATGAGAGTAGTAATGCATGTTTATTTTTAATTTTTTATTTGAGTGAACCATCTCTTTTGGTTGCCATTATTAAACGATCTGTATAACTTTCAGGGCATAGTTCAACTTCCACTCATGCAACTTTGCCCTCTCTCTTTCTCTGTTCAGACAAAGGTCAGAATGATTGCTGAGTGATTATGAGTGGACACATTATGGATCTTGGCAACGAAGTAGATCTCTCCAACAACAATATCACTCCTCTCTGGAAAAGACACTGCGAAAATGACAAGAAGCACAAGCCCAGACCTCACAGTTACCAAACAGATGGAGTTCTTATGACAGACTTTCCTGTGGATGATAAGTGCATGTTCACGCTCACCCAGCCGGCTGAAAAGATCAGCACCACTGCGTCAAACACTACAGTACTGAAACACACTCTCAACAAACCCACAAGGAAGACTAGGGTGGTCCGGAGCATCAGTATTGGATATTTATCAAACGGAAGGTTCTCTCTGTCAAACTTTACTAAATCGGATGATAAGAATGAAGACACTATTTCTTCCCCTAAAACACCTCTGTTGCCCACCAAGAATGGGAATGGAGGACTCAGTGTTTGGCATGACATAACAGAGCCCCTGAAACGTCTCTCCAGTCAGTTCACCCTCACCTCTCAAAGGGATCAAATTGTTTTTGGGGATGTGTCTTCACCTCCAGACACAGTTTCACCAAAACATGTCACCTCAAACATGTTACCTCAAAATTCCACACTTTCACGCCAATCGCAGGATGTCCATGGATCTCCCATCGGCTACCGCAGCTCCCCGCTTCACAGTTCCACCTCCAGCATCCCCTCCATATCCTCCAACAATAGCCTTCCCTCAGACCCCCCAACACCCTGCAGCCCATCCTCCACTGAAAGGCCAGGGGACGTCCTGTTGCAGCGGCAGAGTTCAGGGTCATCTCAGGGCTCGGAGGGCAAGCAGACCCCTTCCCCAGTAACACTGAGCACCCACAGTCCTGCAGCGCATAAGATGGGCACCCAGCAGATCATCCCCAGGGGTCTGGTCTCCAACACGCGCTTTAGCAAGCCCTCTCAAAAGTTTATGGACACAGGTAAAAGTGCCTTCCGACCGCGAAGCATGTTTGAGACGACTTCTTTCTCCACCAGTCAGGATAATGGGTTGGATGGAGATGAGAATGCAGGACTACTGACAAGAGGTCAGCGCTCCAAATCATATCGTCAGGCAATGGGCAGTGGTGTAGATATAGAAGTTCTATCATTAGACCCAAAGGCCAAACGCCTGTCCCAGCCTGTGCTGAAAGGAGTCGCTGAACAGAGACAGTCTAACCTGAGTCCATCCAAGAGCAAAGTGAGTCGAACACTAAATATTGAAAAAATTACACAAACTTGTTCTTCTTATTTTGTGGTTATAATGTGAAGGAGAGAGCGTGTATGTGTATACAGTAGAGATGCGTGGATCAGCTCTAACTTCACACGAATCCGCTGTTAAAAATCATCCACCTGCCACCCACCCAAACCTATGATTTTCTCTGATTTAGATACCCGCACCCGATCACCACAGTTTCACGAGTGCACACTTACAAATAATCAGATAGTGTAAAAATTATGCATATTTTCCGTGCTGTCCAAGGGGAGGACTCCGAGCTCGAAATTTGTCCCGAACCCAGAGTACTCCCCCCGTATCCCTGGCTAGGATAAGTTACCAGTCGAGTGAGGGGGTGGTGAAGGGATGCAAAAAACTTTTGAGGAACATAGGTGAGTCGACTATAGATATACTGTATATTATAGGCCTCCACTTGTGCTGATTGGATAGGCGATTTGAAAGTGTCCCCAAACTTTGTTAATAAAACATCAAGTGTGATAATAATGGTAATATATTACATTTAAAACAATTGATTTTAGAGTTTCATTTTTTTTATTATTAATTTAGACTAAATAGTGTATAATTTCAGTATTGCCAATTTACCGTTTTTAATATTGATGCACTATGTGTGAATGTGTATTTGTATTTGTGTATGTATATTATTTAGGACTGTGAACACTCCCTTCAAATTAACCTTGTCAGGCAGAACTATCTAACGGGTCAAATATTGCGTGTGACAATAAGCTTTCATTACTTAATTTCATCCTTCAGAATTTTCGGGGCATCATAAACAATGACAGCATACTGTTATAGTGAATCTAACAGCCCAATAAAACCAGTTCATTCCTTTTATGAAGATAGAATGATGGGAAAGAGTCAAAGCAGGTGGCCACACGCTCCCATTTGAATTCAGATTCATTCTGCAACTCATGCCCATTGCATGTTCATTGGCTTGTCCACGTAATTACATTTTCAAACATTTTTTTTTTAAGTAACAAGCAATGTTTGAATACTGGCTAGTTTTGTGAGTGTAGTATTTTAGGGGTGCCAATTATTGTGTTTGTTTCAATTATTTAATGTTTGTTTGATAATTTGACCCCCCCCCCCACACACACACACACACACTTGTTTTATTTAAATTAAATTTGATTTTTGTGATTTTTTTTTTTAATTAAAGATCATGAGGATAAACAATGTCAACATTGCCAAGCACAACTAATCAATCCCTTTTTGCAGAATGTGGAGCGGAAGAAAGGCCTCCCAACCCAGCGGACGTTTGACAGTGAGGGTAAGCATTGGAGCATCCTTCAGACCTTTCTGTGTGCTACATAGAGCACACTCAACAGAGACTAGGTGAAATCTACTTCATTTGATATGCATGATGAAATGTTTTCATCTATGAAACGTACTTTAAACAGGGCTCTACATTGCAACCATTTCACAAGTGTGAGTGACCTGATCAAAGCTCATGAATAGTTGTCTAATAACTCCTAACATGCATCTCTACTTCACATCCATTACATTTCGCAAATGCTGCCACTTTCCATATGTGATTGATACACTTCACAAATTAAACATTGTGGTTTTTGTGTATTTAGGTTTACAAGATGAAACAGATTAACATGAGCTGTTGTTGTTTCTTAGCAGCCTGTAAAATTAAATTTAAATAAAGCAGGGCCAGAAAATAATGGGGCTTGGGGCAAAAATGCCCCCAAAATTCAAGATATTGGTGCTCGTGTATGCAATCAAGAGTGCACACAAGCAAGAGTGCTGTTTTCCCCAAATGCAAATGTGTGATATTCACCTCCCACATACTCATACTTGTAATCTTATGCATTGTTCAATCATAGCAGATAACGGTTACTGGATATTAATTTACTGATTATGTTACAACTTTGCATATTGCAAATTTGTACACTGGGCTATTGTATTTGTAAAATGGGCTATTGACAAAGGCAGTGACTTATTGCCACTTATTAGCTGTATTAGTTTAATAATTCAAGTATTATTTCTTTTTTTTTTTAAATCATTGCATATTTCTATATTCAAAATGTTATACTTAAAGCTGCAGTAAGTAACTTTTTTTAAGGTAAAAAAAACCCTAAAATCAGTTATTTAGCATGTACATAAGACATCAGTCTCTGTAGCCCGATTTGCAACATTAAGCTTATAAAAATTATTTATAATTTGAGCTGTCGTTCCGATTTTGTGGGAAATGTCATTTTCAGATCATTTGTCTTTGCGTTGTTGCATCATGTCCGTAAACAGAAATAGGAAGACAAGGGGCTCTATCTTGCACCCGGCGCAAATGACTTTATTCACTGACGCATTTATCATTCCTATTTTGCACGCATGGTTTTTTTCCTCCACAGACGCATGTCGGTAAACTAGGAAATGAACTTGCGCTCCCTGGGCGGGTTGGCGCAAAAAGGAGGCGTGTGTCGGCGCAAACAATCCCTAGTGATATTTTGCAGTTCCAGAAAACAATTGCGCCAATGACCAGAAAAAACCTGGTCTAAAGTCAGTGGCGCGTTGCGCTACATTCAGATGCTATTTTAAGCGCGCATGCTTGGCCATAATACAGAGAGTGAACAACGCACATACACTGTAGATGATTCTCTCATCTACACAGATGCTTTTTATTTTTTGCAAATGATACATTATTATAAGGAAAAATATATAAACACGAGGGAAATCATTGTTGTGTCCATGACGATGGGGAAAATAGACATAAAGCTTACACATTTACCCAAATTATGATATGCATGTTTAACCGAAGTTAATTTGGGTGGGTTTGTCTCCCCAATGTCCCTTCTCTTTCTTTCATGGCCCTGACGAGAACATCGATCTCCTCGGCTGTGAACCGATGCTGAAGCGCGTCTGGTAAAAGCGCCGTTAAAATAGAATTGCGCCATGGAACAAGCGCACCTCGTTCATCATGCTCTTAAAGGGAATGTGATATGACGTTCTTATTGGTTTATTTCCGTTACGCCCAAACCACACCTATGAATAATGAAGCTACTTTAGACCAACCCCTTTTAGATTTGAGGCATTTATCCCGGCGCGAAAATAGCAACAGCGCCTGGATCCGCCCACAAAGTTACTTGCGCTTTGCGCTTTGACACTTGCGTATCAGATTGTTAAAATAGGGCCCCTGGTTACTGAATGGCATGTGCTGAGGAGATAGTTGCTTGAATTTAAACTTGTCATCTATAATCTAGATGGCTGCTTTTAATCCAGAACAGTCTAAATGGCATCCATCTTTGACATCTGGCGAATCACCTGTCAAAACTAAGGAACCTTGAAGCATACAGTCAAAAAAGAAAGTTGTTGTTTTCAGTTTACATTAAGTTTGTGGCATTTCTCATTAATTTCTGTGATATCTGCAAAGAGTGATTGACTGTTGCACAACTCAGAACAAGATTCAATGAATTCAAGGCTGTAATGTGATGCAGCTCTAGAATAAAATTATTGTTCAGTTAAAGTTAGTTTTTGATTGTTTCACTTCCGTTGCAAAGATCATTAGTTATTAACACAACACCGTCCCTGGATGACCTACTTCCTGTGAGATTCTAAATTGTACATTCGCTGGCTTACTATTGTAACCTTTACATTTGCCAGTTTATTATTTTATTTTATTTCATTATATGTAAATTGATTATTTTATTTGGGAATGTTTTTCCTAAATTTTCATTTGTCTTATAAAAAGTGTTTATATATATTTAAATATATATATATATATATATATATATATATTTGTGTAGAGGTTATTTTGTGCTCTTGCCTCTTTAAGGCAGAGCGTGCTGGAAAAAAAAGAGGAGAAGTGAGTTGTATGCAAGTTATTAGGTGGCTGTTCATGCTGTTTTGAACCGATTTTGAAATCTGGTTGCAGCTCACTCTTAAGGAGAATCTTTGCAGGTTTTCTTCCCTCAAATCTTAAACATGCTCACACTACAAGATATGAAAATCGCGCCGCATCACACACTACAGTGTTATTTAGATTATCGTGCCAGAGGAAGCGCCTCGCGTTATCTCACGCCCAAATCGGAAGCAGAAAAGCGGATGTAAACAAAATATCTGCCCTTCATCCGGTCGCCGTGACCAAGGAAAGATTGCTATAACAATGTAACTGGAATGAGTGACAGTCTGTATATAACACACAGAGACAAGCAATGCTGATACTGGTGAAATATCAACCGAAAGCCTCTTGAAAAGTGAGATTCGAGGATCGAAACTAACTGTTATATAACAATATTTTATGTTATATTATGTGGACCCTTAAATTGACATTGTATCTTCTGTTTACTCGACTTCGTTTCAATGCACTTTTTAGGGCCCAAGCCCTGAAAGGGCGAAGGCCCTATTGTTTTCCTTAGGATTATTTATTCTTCTTCTTACGTATTATTATTATTCTGCTACCTTTTGGGCACTTTTGGGGCCCTTAACGTGCTATATATATGTATATATATAGATATATATATAGATATATATATACTTAAAAAAGCGGGGGTTAAGTTTATGCACGTCGTGCAGAATAACACTAAAGGCACCATATAATATATACTTAAATATATCTGCGAGCAGCGATTTCGGGCCAAAGCTGGCGGTACCGCCATCCTGGTGCCTTTAGGTAACTAAAGGCGCCGGGGTTGCGGTGCCACCGGCTTGGGCCCGCAATCGCTGCTCGCAGCTATATTTAGTTTTGGTTTCATTACTGAACATGTACTCATCTTTGTGCCACTGACCACAATGTAACACTTATTTATTTAGCAATAAATAAATAAATGAAGATAATACCACATATCGTGCTGTTGAGTCACTCAAAATTACAACAATGGAAATTCCTTCACCAAGACAGCCCTACTTGTTTCTTATTGGCTATTGAGACAGTACTGACATATAATCACAATCTTGCTCATCCTGATAAATATTAAACATGTTTGATATGATCGGGGAGAGCCGATTTGTGTGAGAGCAGATTGGGAGGTGCAAGATTCGATCTGCGAAATACGTAACATGTCTCAGTGGTGTCTGTTGTTTGCTTATGAGCTGTGACTTCTCTCTCTCTCTCTCTCTCTCTCTCGCTTGTGCATTTTTTTTCTCTGATTCGATCATAAACTAGCACATTACGTACCGTTTCACGCTGGTGAACGATCCCAGCTTAAGCGCCATCATCACGAAACGGCATTGATTACTGCTTTTGTTCACACAGCGTGCGTTCCGCGACTGAACACGGCAATGTTAACACTGGCATCAATTCCGGGTTGTGTTTGCGTTCACACAGGTGTTTGTTCTGCCAAATTCCCAGGATCAATGCGCTGTGTGAAAGGGGCTCATGTTGCTTTAATTTTGCAGACTGGATGGGGTGGAGTTACATGACTACACACATGGTAATATGTTTTAAGGGGAAAGTACATCAACACACAGTGGGTGGAAATATTAATATGATCAAAAAAAACGAAATAACCGACATGGTAAAATTACGTCGGTTATAGACTCTGAATTTCGGTTTCGTTTATTTTTCGATTAATCATCCAGCCCTAGACAGAGGCTTTTAAATCTGTGAAAGACTGCGTAAAAAGATTGTGGAATACTTTTAAACAATGTTCCACAACATCATTTTGCAAAGGCTTTGCAAATCTCATCTACAGTGAGTAACATCATCTAAAGATTCAGAGAAACTGGAGAAATCTCTGTGCTTAAGATACAAGGTCAAAGACCTTTATTGGATAGCCGTGGTCTTCGGGCCTTCAGACGACACTGCATCATTTGTCAGTATGATTGTGTCAATGACATTACTAAATGGGCCCAGGAATACTTCCAGAAACCACTGAATGCTGAAAGGTATAGAAAGGAAAGGTTTTAGAGCAACATATGCACCCCTCCAGACAATGTCTATTTCAGAGAAGGCCTTGTGTATTTCAGCAGGATAATGCAAATCCACATACTTGCAGCTATCACAATAGCATGGCTTCATCGTAGAAGAGTCTCTGTGTTAAATTGGCCTGCCTGCAGGCCAGATCTTTCACCTATTGAGAAAATTTGGCGCATCATTAAACGGAAAAAAAAACGTCAAAGACGACCACAAACCTTCAGTTGCTGGAAACCTATATAAGGCAAGAATGGGACCAAATTCCAACACCAGAACTCCAGTAACTCATAACCTCGATGCCAAGATGTCTTCAAACTGTTTTGAAAAGAAGAAAAGATGTTACACCATGGTAAACATGTCCCCATCCCAACTATTTTGAGACCTGTAGCAGGAATCAAATTTGAAAGGAGCTCATT